TTCAAGAGACCACTGGATTCACCCCTTTCCAGCTGGTACATGGTCGGAAGGTAACGACCATGCTGGACGCCATGCTGCCCCATGAGCCATCTGACAACGAGAGCGACGACGCCCAGGCGGTTGCTCAACGCGCCGAAGAAGTTCGCCAGCTCGCCCGACTCCTGATTCAAGACCAGCAACGCGTCGACGCCGGCCGCTACAACCTTCGTCGCAGGGACGTCCACTTCCAGCCCGGAGATAGGGTGTGGGTATGGACGCCCATCCGTCGCCGCGGCCTCAGTGAGAAATTGCTGAAACGATACTTTGGACCCTACAAAGTGCTTCGTCGCCTCGGTGATCTTAACTACGAAGTCCTCCCCGACGGAACGCGCCCATCTGCAAGACGTCAGCCGCGACCCGAGGTGGTGCACGTCGTCCGGCTGAAGCCGTATTACGAACGATAGAACTTTCCACTCTCGTCGACGGGTGAACTGAACTGCGGCTCGCGATTCTGCTGCCTTTTTGTTTTGGATTTGTTTTTGTTTGCTGTTTTTCGTTTTGTGCTGCATCGGGACGATGCACTTTTGAAAGGGGGGGATAATGCCGCGCGCAGGGTCACGGACTTGTAGAAAGTTCTCGTTCACTCTTGCTGCGGACATAACTATCGTTCATCCCTGTTTTTGTTGTTCTAGAAAGTGCTTGTTCATTCTCGCCCCGAGCGCGCTACGCTCGAACCTTCTCCGCCGAATATTCGAGATACTGACTCACTCTAGATAAGAGGCCGCCCGCGACCTTGTCGAGTCAGTCTCGCCCCAGCGCTCGATTCTGCTGACACGCCGACTTCGACGCCCGCGACGCTCTGCCTTCTTCTGTTTCCTTCTTTATTTTTGGCACAAGTTCGCCACATTAAACGTTTATTTATTTCTGTTTATTTCTTGTTTATTGGTCACGACTCACCACCCGTGACAATATATATATATATATATATATATATATATATATATATATATATATATATATATATAAACTGAGAAGAAAAAAACCCTTAGTGAAAACAGCAACAACGGACGATTTAATCTTCGACGTTTCGGCCGGAGTCCGGCCGAAACGTCGAAGAATAAATCGTCCGTTGTTGCTGTTTTCACTAAGGGTTTTTTCTTCTCAGCTATATATATTATTTCTGTTGAGTTACTCTTGTACACATAAATATAAAATCGTTTTTAACCTTTTCCTTTAAGGTTGTGTGCGTGGATGTATGCATGGTGTTACGATTAACACAGAGGTTCGGGCGAGTTGGTTGCTCATGATGTACAGGGGGAACAGCGCACCCGGAGAACAGTCATTCAAATCAACATACACACAAAAGAAAGAAACACTTACTCAGCGCTGACTGACAACTCTCTATATTTACACTTTCTCTTCTTCTATTTGTGCTATATGCAAGGGCCAGGGAGAATAACTGGTCTTGTTTTCTTTTCTTTCGATATGATGCTAAATAGTGAACTAAATTGAAATTAATATAAAGCTAGGTAGTCTAATTCTTTTTGTGACAAGGTTTGTGACATGTGACAGCACATGCGTTAGTACTCCGTCTTTAACCTTGTCACAAAAAGAATTAGACTACCTAGCTTTACATTAATTTCAATTTAGTTCACTATTTAGCATCATATCGAAAGAAAAGAAAAAAAAAACAGTTATTCTCCCTGGCCCTTGCATATAGCACAAATAGAAGAAGAGAAAGTGTAAATATAGAGAGTTGTCAGTCAGCGCTGAGTAAGTGTTTCTTTCTTGTGTGTGTATGTTGATTTGAATGACTGTTCTGCGGGTGCGATGTTCCCCCTGTACATCATGGTGTTACGAATTGTTCATATGACTTTGTTGTGTACTACACTGCGTTATACAAAGACTTCGGTCGTTTTTAGGCAAACAAAACTAAATAAATAAATAAATACGTAAATAGCTTAAAATATAACGCTTGTACTTTGCTACGACGGTTCTGGGAAGGATGCAATTCACTTTCGCCAGGGACCTGCTCGCTAGTCGGCCACAGCTATCTCCACTGGACGCTGCTCGGCTGGAGCAATTCGCCAAGTATTTTGACAGCTTCTGGCTTTCAAACACAGTCGTCGAAAACATCTGAGGCCACTTTAAGAACGATGGACCACGCACCACAAACATGGTGGAAGGGTGGCGTAACGGACTGCACAGCCGGCTGACAACTCATCATCCAGACTTGACTGAATTCATACAGTTCTTGCAAGTTATCCAGCATTCCTCGCAAAATAGGATCCAGGCACTGCTCTTGGATCCCCTCGCGGTGGCGTCTGCACTGGCGGTTCAAGTGGTAAGAAAGGGCTGCAGGAGGAGGTTGCCATGTTTTTGCGGAACTTGGCGACTGCTGTTCCGACATTTCAAGACGTGCTCCACTACGTTGACAGGATTTCATTGATTGGAGTCCTTCCATAGAACGAGCAAGCTAGTACGTGTGCCGGCTTGCCAGAAAATGCGTAATTTTTATTGATGTATGCTTGCGCACACAATAAACGGTTTTGAATGCCTCGGGCAATACTGGCGTTTTACTCAAGGACCTTTCGTAAAATATCCTAGCGACGCACCTCGGAGTGTAAGTCGAGGCACAAACTATACTCCGTTAACCCTTTGGCCTATGCAGTGCGGTGGAAGCTCCGTGGAAGCCATCTTTCCGCAAGTGCAACCAAGGGCATGCTTATTCTAGCTTGACATCGTTCTCCACGCGTGAGCGTATGCGGAAAGAGGGGCGATCCCGTCGTGTGACACCGACAGGTCTAACGAGCGTGCAGTTTATTCTGCACTGTCAGCTTCGGGGCGAAGCGACTGCGGCCTGATGAACCACGACTGGGCACATCGGACTTATACACGTAATAGCAGTCCTTCATCAGTCCCCAAATATGGCCTGGAGTATAAAATGTTTTCGGCCTGGCCGTGCGCACCTGTTTCTCCAGCGTTTGCCCCTCGTTGAGCAATTACTTTGGCTTCCCGAGCATACGCTAGTGCTGCACGATTCCGGACCATTTGCTCGGATTTAGCTGCGACATTATTAGAGGCACCTGGAGCCCGCTCCCGAGCTTGAGGATTTTCACCGTTCTCCATGGTTGCTCCGCTTATGGCGTCTGATCTCGTGCTATCACGGACACTACTCACAGCCCATCGCCCGCTTTGCTGGTCCTCCGCATGTGACATGTACTTCTATGCTCGAACCAGGGAAGGAAAATATACACATTTCAATTTTTTATTCTTAATTAAGCGTTCAGTTCAAGTAAATTTCTGAAATTTCTTCTCATATATATCTAAAACCATGAGTTCTTTGTAGAGCTTCTTGGAACATATTACCATTCGCATACCTGCATGCTAAAGAATATTTGATGCGCAGTAAGTTTCATTATGTCGTTTTCAAGCATGCAATCAGCTCACGGCATTATTGAGCCGGCCCCGCTGATCATGCCTGTTCTTCTTGGTGTAATACAGAGCGGAACACGACAGCGGTTTTCACGAGCTCTGATAAGATGCGACAGTAGCAGGGTGTACAGCGTCACTCCCAGTGTACTTTTACACCGAAAAATGACAAAACAGAAAGTATAAATATTCCACTCATTATCTGTGCTTGGCTTGTATTTCCTGAAAATACGAAAACATTGTTCGTCTCTTCGTCATTTATACAGGTTTATCGAGGAACACATGGCCTTTGCTTACCATATTTTCAAAAGTCGGTTACACAAAATAACAACCTTTTCAGGTAAAATAGATCTAAGACCCCACAAGCAAGCTTTATATATCTGAATCGGAACATGAATAGCGTCAAAACTTTCAACGAGTCGGAACATTCTCCCGAATCTGAACATCCAAAGCGTCAAAACATCCATCCGAGTCAGAACATCCAACGTACCTGTAGCAATCCAATTCTCAGCAATGATTTCGACTAGTGAAATCGAATAGTTTTTGTATGTTTCGGTTGTGCTTCACCTCGCTCTCCCACCTCGATATGAATTTGCGATATTGCCATTACAAAAGGTTGGAAGAAAATCATTATATCCTTTTGATATGACAGTGAAGGCCCGAGCTGGACCGTTGTTTCTTGATTCTAAGTTGACTAATGTGAAAGTTTGGGCTAGTTGGTATTTCATGATTAAAAATTAAAACAGCGCAAGGACACGGACAAGAACAAGAAGGTAGACAAACAAGGCGCTTTGTTTGTCTACCTTCTTGTTCTTGTCCGTGTCCTTGCGCTGTTTTAATTTTTAATCATGATTTTAAGTCATTGGTTTTATTTCTTTCAAACGCTTTGTTAGCCCACGTGAGCTGACACTTACAGACGCTCACAAGCACTCTTGGATCGGGCATGATAGGACGTAAGGACGCTTCTGGATGTCAGCATAAAATGGTCGCGTCTAGCGAGCGCTATAGCACAGGCTACAGCACCTCTTTTTTGATTTCGCGTCTCGTAGTGTGCCTAGATTACTGAGTGTTTCCAACTGCTCGATTGGGATCATGTAAGTTATGAGCTCAATATTGTAATATGGAGCTTCGACGAAGTGACGGAAGTGTTGACCACCCGCTCGCCCGCCCGCAGCTTTGTAGTAAATCGCAGCGCGATACCTTGAGAAAACGATTTTTGCGGGCCGTCGAAAATGCCTTAAAAGCGTTAATTTACATGCTGTTGTGTCTCGTGGAGAGCGCCGCCTGGCCGAGGGAAACAGGCCTATATTCTCCGGCGAATATTGTGCATGAACCTGCTACTCTTCTCACCCCAAAACCGCTACCGTCCCAGCACAGCACCTGAAACGTCTGAGGTTACAGTGCTAAAACTGCTGAGGATGATTTACATATTTAGTCATATATTCGGCATTTATTTTTTTTGTACGCTATTTATAAATGTATTTATTTATTTATTATCTATTTATTTATCCCTAATTCGCGGTGAGCCTCACTTTATTCTTATCCGAGGAAGTTGATTGCAACGCCCTTTCAACAAGTAGCCTTTTCAGGGGTATCCTCCTTAGACATTGCGGAACGAGGGTGCTTGAGCCTTGTTGCAGAAGGTGGAGACATTATTTGCGATCTTAATGGACATAAGGTAAGTCGTACGAGTCTCGTTATATCAAATGACGCATGTGAAAAACGTTATTCACTTAATGGTGGAGAACACTCGTTTTTGTCCTGTTTGCAGAAATTAACAGCTTTGTTAAATATAGTGTTCGTCCCTTTTTTTATCGTTCTACATCTCAGGGTTTACAAGATGTACTTATTCCGCCAAATCCTGAGCAATATTAGAAAGGCAAAGCTATAGAACCGCCGGTGGCATGCATTCTAGTAAAACATAGACAATTCAGTCAACATAGAGAGTGTTTTCTATGGAGGTAGGAAGTGGTGTCCTGCATTTCAACATCTACCCTATAGCTAATGACACGTCGAGAATTCAGCGCAATATGCCACTCCGCGGGATGTCTAAGGCACTGCCACCCATAATCCGTTACTGTCGTTTCCATAAAGACACAATCTTCAAATAGATGTAAGCTTTTGTTTTTGTTTATTGAAACGACTGCAACCTTTACGTGGGTACCCTAAAAACATTGCAGTTTATTCATGCGTTAGCGTGAGTACCTACGTAACAGCGAAAGGCTGACGCCGTCCGTCTTCGGACAAAACAGTGGAAAGGGAATTGTGCCGCGTGGAGAGGAGGAGAGTAGTGAAGGAAAAAGGCGAGAGGGAGGCGACGTCACGGGGTGGAAGCCAATGCGCGCGCGGGAAACCGGTCACCAGCGAAAGCAGCGAAAGGCAGCGAATAGACCATTTGCAGGATTCCCAAGCGCCCCGGCCCGCACTCCAGGAATCATGGGAACAGTGTTCCTTCAGCTCCCTAGTGATCGCTAATTTTCGACCAACTCCGTGGTTACGCAGTTTTCGAGCGTAATTGGAGGCCACCCTGAACAAGCACCTGATATACCCCAAGGACCTGTCATATCACTTAAAATTACTCGACTACGTCAACATTTTTATACTGCGCATGCGGTGCACCTTTCAACCTGGCTGAGCTGCAGAAATGTCTTTCAATAATATCATTCTCGTAATGGTTGTTTGAGCAGGAATTGCTTAAAAAGCCGATAATTCACAGCAACAAAAGCCAGGATTTAGCTCGGGGTCCGCGGGGCTGTTTATAGCCTTTTTAGCGCTTCTAACTTAGTATCAGCATGATAATAATGTAAGAGATTTCTGCAGCCCATCCAGATTGAAGGGTGGACAGCATGTGCAGTATCAAAAACGCTCACATTGAGGAGAAATTTTAAAAGCGATATGACAGGTCTGTAGAGGGCGCAACCCTCGCGTACGTGATTGCCGCAGGCAACCCTGTGCCACCGCGGGGGCGGTTTCGTGTGTTATTTTCGACGGAATAAAAGTCACTTGTTGTTCTGGCACGAGAGAGTTCGCACGAACCTTCTTCTGGCCCGGCATGGCCTCCACATGGTGTCAGAAGTGCCAAACGTTATGCCTAACGACGTAGGCCTTGCCTCCGCATGAATCGTCTCCGCCGTAACTGCGTAGCTCGCTCGCCCGTCGCCCGGCTTTCGACCCCCGTGTTCCTGCTCGCTGCCGTCCTGCTCGCTGCCATGCCTGACGACGAAGGAAACGGCGCCAAGCCTTCATGTCGAGGTCTTTCACTGCATCAGCCCGACCGCTTCGACTTCGAGAACGCCGGTTCCTGGCCGACGTGGCTAAGCCTTTTCGAGGACTACTCCTTCGCTTCCGGTCTTCGACAGGCGTCGGGAGAAGTTCAGGTCCGCACACTTCTTTATTGCATGAGGCCGGAAGCTCGTCCTCTTCTTGCGATGTTCGGCCTCGGCGACGCTCCTACGGACTACAACGTGGTCGTAGAGAAGTTTACGGCCCATTTCGTTCACCCCCTCAACGAGGTGTACGAGTCGGCGCAGTTTCACCGGCGAGTCCAGCAGCCGGGGGAAACGGTGGACAGCTACTATGCGGAACTCTGCAAGCTCTGCAAGAGATGCAACTACCCGTCACCCGAGGTCGTGGAACGCCTTGTCCGCGACCGCTTCATCGTAGGCTTACGCGACGCTCGCCTCGTCGACCAGCTCTGCCGCAACCCCAAGTTAACCCTCAAAGAAGCATGGGTGCAGGCGAGACAAGCAGAAGACGCCCAAAAGCAGAGAGACCAGCTCGCAGGCCACGACACGCAGTCTCGACCGGTGAGCCTCGACGCTGCCAAGTCTCGGCAGCCACAAGCGGGACGCGTCAAGTACAGTTCAGCACGCGACAAGCGCACCTCAAGCTCTAGCTCGTGCGGCTACTGCGGCCGCGCTTCACACGCTCGCTCGGAATGCCCCGCCCGCAACTCGTTCTGCAACCACTGCAAGAAAAAAGGCCATTTCGCGGACGTCTGCCGTTCCCGGAAGAAACGGTCGACCCAGGTAGCAGAGCTGGGTTTGTACGGCGTTCGCAACTCCGACCAAGGCAAGTTCGTGGAAGTAACTGTCAACGACTACACGGAAGTGTTCAAGGTTGACTCGGGAGCCGAAGTTTCAGCCGTCTCGAACACCTTCCCCAACCTGCCGCCGTCCCTCGACAAGGGGGACGACACTCTCTTCGGGCCAGACAGCAGCCACTCAACGTTCTTGTGTCCTTCATGGCCACTTTGCTGTGGAGAGGCAAGTCAACTCAGCAAAGACTATACGTGGTAAAATCCCTCTCCGTGCCTCTTTTGGGCTTTCCAGCCATTCAGGCACTTCAAGTTGTCAAATTCGTCGACGGCGTCTCATCGAAAGAAAAGGACCCTCCTACCGTCAAAGTCTCTTCTCAGACTTGTGACAAGCTGTTTAATGGCCTCGGATCTCTCTCTGAAGAATACAAGATCCGCCTCCAGCCAGACGCTGTTCCATTTTCTCTTAGCGTGGCAAGGCGCATCCCCATTCCGTTGCGGGAAGTCGTCCGCAAGGAACTGCAGAAGATGGAACAAGAAGGCGTCATTCGCCGAGTTGACACGCCAACACCATGGTGCGCCGGACTGGTGGTCGTCCCCAAAGCCACCGGGGGCTGTGCGTGGACCTTACGAAGTTAAACCGGGTGGTCCTGCGAGAACGCCACATCCTTCCCACGGTCGACCAGGTCCTGGGCCTGCTGGGAGACGCAACGGTGTTCTCCAAGTTGGACGCTAAATCAGGCTTCTACCAGGTGAAGTTGGCGGAAGAATCTCAAGAACTCACCACATTTATCACACCTTTCGGACGCTACTGCTTCCGTCGGATGCCCTTCGGCATCACCTCTGCGCCCGAATTTTTCCAGAAGCAGATGTCCAGGATTTTGGAAGGCCTGGAAGGCACTGTGTGCATGATAGACGACATACTCGTCTTCGGACGCACTCTCGAAGAACACGACTCCCGCCTGCAGCAAGTCCTGATGCGACTATCCCGCGCAGGCATCACTTTGAACGAGAAGTGCTGCTTCCGCCAGAGCGAGGTTTCCTTCCTGGGGGTGATGGTATCTGCAAGGGGCATCCGTCCTGACCCAAGCAAGCTCCAAGCGATCAAGGGGATGAGTGCGCCAACTGACATTGCAGGTGCAAGACGCCTCCTTGGCATGGTGAACCACCTCGGGCGTTTCCTTCCGCACGTTTCGGACGTTGCAGCTCCTATCCGAGCACTCCTCAGCAAGAATGCTGCGTGGAACTGGTCCCACGAACAAGAAACAGCATTCACCAAGCTCAAGCTGATGCTCGTCTCGGACCGCTGTGTGGCGAAGTATCATCCGGCGTACCCAACAGTCGTCTCAGCGGATGCCAGTTCATTTGGCTTGGGGGCAGTTCTTCTACAAACTCAGCCTTCTAGCGAAAGAAGACCGGTTGCTTTTGCGTCGAGGTCCCTTACAGCGACTGAATTACGTTATAGCCAAACGGAGAAGGAAGCCCTAGCAGCTGTATGGGCTATTCAACGGTTCGACGAGTTCCTCCGTGGGTTGGTCTTCGACGTAGAGACAGATCACCTGCCTCTGGTCTCACTGTTTGGCAAGATGGACCTGGACGTGGTACCTCCACGTATCCAGCGCCTTCGACTGAAGGTGATGCGGTACCAGTTCACAATGTCATATGTCCCTGGGAAGCTTCTCGCAACAGCGGACACCCTGTCTCGTATGCCAACGGAACCTGCCGATTCGTCTCGTCCTGTAGACACAATCGAAGTGTTTGCTGCGGAAGTCCTTCAGACCTCATCAGAAGCAGCATCTCTACAGCTGGAGGACCTTCGAACTGCTCAAGCAAGCGACGGGGAGTGTCGCGCACTCGCGTCGATGTTCCACAACGGGTTCCCTCCGAAGTCAAAGTTACCGCTTCACCTGACGAAGTATGCAAGCGTGTTGGACGAACTTTCGGTTTGTGATGCTTTACTCCTGAAAGGCACTCGCATTGTGGTACCAGCAGTGCAACGTGCGACATCGCTGACTTTGATTCACGAAGGTCACCAAGGCATTAACAGATGCAAGGCTCGGGCCCGGGAATCAGTATGGTGGCCAAGTATCAACGCTGATATAGCAGCACTCGTGGCACAATGTGAACAGTGCACGTCGTACAGAGACAATCCAGCAGAACCACTTCGGAGCACGCAGCTTCCAAGTCTACCTTGGGACTTTCTGGGCGCTGACTTGTTTCACCTGAACCGACAGACCTACCTCCTCGTGGTCGACTATTATTCCAGTTATCCGGAAGTGGTCTCGCTCAACTCTGCAACAGCTGGGCATGTCATCCAAGTGCTCAAGAGCATTTTCGCTCGTCACGGCATTCCCTCCACTCTGCGTTCAGACAACGGACCACCCTTCCAGTCCCACGAGTTCGCTCGGTTCATGGCACCGTACGGAATCGTGCACCAGACAAGCAGCCCCAACTTCCCACAGTCCAATGGGGGAGGCAGAGCGCATGGTGCGCACGGTGAAGAACCTGCTACGCAAGGCGCACGATCCGTGCCTGGCTTTGCTCAACTACCGAGATACCCCCGGACCCTCAGGTTTCAGTCCGGCACAATTGTTGATGGGGCGCCGACTCCGCACCAGACTTCCCAAGGAGGGGAGACTGTTGGTACCAAGTAGCAAGCCACAGGAGGAGGTGGCCACCAAGGCCGCGAAGCTCAAACGTCGGCAAGTCACCGACTTTGATCGCCGCCATCGGGCTAGAAGCCTCTCGCCGCTGGAAGACGGTACCCGCGTCTGGGTTCGTCCGGAACGGGTAAAGGCTACTGTCCTCAGTCCAGCGCAACGTCCCAGGTCGTACGTGGTGGAAACAGATGAGGGAGCAATCTGGCAGCGCAACCGGAGAAACTTGGTGCCTTTCAGGACAGGCAGTGAAGACCCAACTGCGAGAGAAGAGGCTCAAGGTCTGGCTCCTTCTCAAGAACCGGCGGCACCTGCAGCGCAGGAACGGGCTTCCCCTCGGCAACCACCTGCACCTGCATCTCAAGGACTGGCTCTTCCTCAAGGACCGGTTCCTCCTCAAGAGTTGGTGGCACCTGCAGCTCAAGGATCGGCTCAACCTCAGCAGCCACCTTCGCCTACGAGCCACAACCTCCGGCGCAACGAACCTGACTTGGATACCTCACCTGTATAAAGAACCAGGTGTGGCCGACGGGTGGTGCGTCCCAGGAAGTTGGACCTTTAGTGTGATTCTGAGGGGGGAGATGTAGAGGGCGCAACCCTCGCGTACGTGATTGCCGCAGGCAACCCTGTGCCACCGCGGGGGCGGCTTCGTGTGTTATTTTCGACGGAATAAAAGTCACTTGTTCTGGCACGAGAGAGTTCGCACGAACCTTCTTCTGGCCCGGCATGGCCTCCACAAGGTCATTGGGGTGTATCAGGCGCTTGTTCAGGGTGACTCCGCATTAAGGTCAAAACCTGTGTAACCAAGAATAGGGTTGGAATTACCGATCACTAAGGGGCTGAAGGAACACCGTTCCCATGATTCTTGTAGCACGGGCCGGGGCACTTGGGGGATATAGCAAATGGTCTATTCAGCTGCCAAGCGCCTAGCCTGGCTGACCGAAATGCGGCGCAAGAAGCTGCAAGCCGACGCAGGTCTGCTTGCGACAGAGGACGGGGTGAAGCGGGCCGGACGAGCCCGCTTCGACAGAAAAACAAATTAAAGGAAGATCCATCGGTGGATTCTTAGGGAATGCGTTACGCCTGGGGAACGGCACATACGTCCCCCTTTTGGGAAACGCCAACACTGGCGCCGTAACGAAGCCAAAAAAGATGCAGAGAAATTTTGAGGAAGCAGAAGACGAAGCCAGGAGAGAAAGCCAAAACAGAGAAGTCAGTTGTAGTGTTCCCCAAAAAGGGACGTGTGTGGCGTTCCCCAAGGATCCACCAATGTATCTTCCTTAAATTGTTTTTGTATGCTCAAGCCTTACGACAGCTATATATAACTATGTCCAGGGAGCAATTTGATGGCTACTTTAACTTTCCCCCGGTTGAAAAAAAAAAACAAAGAAAAACAACAAAGACCTATCTGAACCTTATAACATTTTGATGACAGGAAAACCAGAATCAATATTTTAAACTAAGATATTAAAAGTTTAGGTTATCTCTGACTAACATATAACTATTTATTGTGTATCCTAAACAATCTATTTGGTGTTCACAGGTCAAAATGTAGCATGCATTTTACGGGAGTTCTTTCGTATTTACATTCGATGCTATTGAACGTTATTGATATTTTTCTTGTTAATTTTACAATCTTAATAGTATTGTGACCCACATGCAGTATTGCATACGACATCATAAAGAGGGCGCCTACATTTAAACACGAGTAAGGCTTTCTCTGTGCATCATCATCTAGGCAATTAGCTGCTCATGACAACAGACATTAAATAGGCAATAATAATGATGATACACATAAAAGTTGCACACTTAATTCCGTACAGGTAATTATATAAAGAAATAAGTATGAGGTGCGATCAGAAAGTTCCGGGACTGATTTTGTAGCGCAAGAAGAGAGGGCAGCGCAGTCATGCACGCGCAGGAGTCGGAGAAAGGGGCCACCGTGTCTCCTTATGCCAAAGCCGTCCCTCTGTGAAAGTCGGGAGCTGCACAACACGAGTATTTGTGACCACGTGCACGGGCACAATGGCGATTTCGCCATAGACTGCAAACCAGAGCGAGAGCGGACATCAGTTCTGCGTCAAACTCGGCAAATATGAAACAGATTCTTCTGAAATGATTCAGCAGATTTGTGTAAAAAAAACGTGCATTTTGCGATGTGTTTTAAGTGGCACTCGCGCTTCAAGAACTGCAGAACATCGCTGGAAGACGAAGATCGGTAGCGCGACCTTATCCGACCTCTACTTGACTTCTGCGACGTTCTGCCATTCTTGAGGTGCGAGTGCGAATCAAAACACCTTGCACACCTCGCCGCTTTTTTGACATAAGCCTTCTAAATCATTTCAAAGGTCTCTGTTTTAGATTTGTCGAGTTTGACGTAAAATTGATGTTCGCTTTCGCTTTGGTTCGCCGTCTACGGAGAGGTCGCCATTGCACTGGCGCATGTGGTGAAATGAACTTATGTAGCACACTACCAAGTGTTCACAGAGCGACGCCCTTGGGCATAATGACGCAGCAAGGTCGAGTGCCGCCGGTGCGCATCACTGTGCTTCCCTCTCCTTGTACGCTACCAAATCAGTCTCGGAACTTTCTGATCACACCTCGTACGTTCTCGGTTTCACTTTATTTCAGTTAGCAGAATTTGTGGATTCGTTTCCCTCTCGAATAATGCCCAAAACATATTTGAAACTTTTTCATTTTGTTTATTTGTTTGAGACTGTCGCTGAGTGTCACGCCTTATTCGCTCCTTCTCACGTGAGTTGAAACGTGGTGGCGCCAGTGTGCAAATAGTCCCCAACCACTTTCCGTTCTGAACTAGACGGCGAGTTTCGCAGTTTTTGCAAAATCAAATACTCACCGTCACGCTATCCTCTGGAAATAACCACTTATAGCAATGTGAAACTTAATTCACTGTCATGATAAAAGAATGATGAGTAAAAACTTATAAAATATGTGTGAACCGGAAGCGTGCCGGGACTGCCCAATAGATGGCGCCACTAAGTTTGTGGCCAAACAAAAAAAGGTGGAATAGTCGGAGCCGTCATGGGTTCTCTGATGCACAAAGGAATGATTATGCCTCAAAGTAAATTGCAAAGAGGTATTACCGTAAAGAAATTGTTTTAACAGTCTCGACACACACTTAATAAAACAACCCGAGGTTGTTTTATTTGTACCACAAAAATAACATATGACTATTACGTAAGATTACATAGCTATAGGTCATCATAGAACGAAACTTCGCCGATTCCCAGTTGCGATGAGGTATGAGATTGATATATCTGCACGTGTTTGATCCCGGAAAAGTGAATTTTTTCTTTCTTTTTTTTAAATTTACTGCTGTTTATACATTTTATAATCCCGCCTCCGGTCAGCCGATACTTATCGAATATTCAAACCTTACCTTTCTGGTTTTTTTGTTTTTTTTTAATTGACGATTCAAACGACGTATTTTTAATGTAGGTGTCCTTAAATTAGACGCCTTTATTTTCCCCGGGATTTACCTCGCTTATCTGAGAGTGAATGCATTCTACCATCGAAGTACACCAAGTCTGCTCTCGTATTATTTATGTAATTATTAATGACGTCCCGAGTATTGATGTATAAGCATCTCAGTGTTTAATTCTCCCTATATTAGGCTGCGACGCACTTAATAGGCGCGGAAACTATTAGAATGCTATCAAAGAACTACGAGGCTTCAAAACTTATTTTTCTTTTTTTTTCTTTCAGATGTATACACGATTTAATGGTGGCAACTGCTCTTTGGGTTGCTTCGGCGGAAACTTTTGGGTCAGACTGCCCGACGGAGTTTGTAGTGTGGTGGGACTAAAGGTAATCCCATTAAAATCGTTTTGTTTCGTGGGCGCGCTTGCTTCATGCACTCTACACTCAGGGCATAAGGTCCGCCTCGCTATACTTCGTCTCACCCTAGCATGGACTAACCGCGAAGGCTGTGCTAGCGCGAGCGGCCAGCCTTGAGCCCTTGACTGCCTTGACTAGAGCACTTGCTGCACGAGCGCTCGTGCAGCCGCCGCGGCTTCATTCAAAGCGACTGGCTCGCACTTTTAGCACGCACGGCTAACAATAGTCCATAATAAGGTGAGACGAAGCATAGTACCTGCCACTCTGACCCCCCATTCACGCTGGAAGCGGATCCGCGGTCGCGAAGCGGTTGCGAAAGCGGTTGTATAAAGATCCAGTGCAATTGCACGCGCATTTGATGTCATCAAATGCGCGTGCAATTGTACTGAATCCTTATACAACCGCGTTCGCAACCGCTTTGCGAACGCGGATCCGCTTCCAGTGTGAATGAGCCCTAAAACGACAAGGAAGTTTTCATGTCTCTCGCTAAAGGCCCAAACGCACGTTGGCGTTTGAACGTGTTTGAGTGAAGAGCGGCGTCCTTGCGGAAGGCAGCGGTTCCTGGCTGTACGAAGCGCGCCGTCGAGACCGGCTCAAGTTTGGACGCGGCGGCAGGGGTTGCGGTAGACCAATCAGAGGCCGAGAAAGGAAAGGTCGCCTTGTTCGCTCGCGCCACTCGGCAAGGCGTGGTTCTCCGTTCGCGGAACTCGCTTTTTCGTTTTGGGGAGTTGTGGGGACTGCTTTTTCTAAGGCTGCGATGGTTCAAGCTTGACAGAATCTCGGGGAAGTCAGCGGGATTGCCCCAAGATCGACCACTTCGACGCTGTCGCCGGGCGTCGCCGTGTTGCCGTGGATTTCGCTTACTATTGGGGTGCCGCTAGCGACGATAGCTCGTTCTTATTGGCTGTTGACTGCGGTTGACTGCGTGTCAGCGCGATTCTGTGCGCAAGCCCGGTGCAAGCGCTCTTCGCGACGCAACGCGTCCTATTGTATGTACCTAGGGAACGCACCGCGCTCAAACGCAAGTGTGCGTAGGAGCCTTAACATTTTAAATGCGAGCCTGAATATCTTTCTTTTTTTCGTCGCACTAGTTTTGTTGCATTATCATTCATCATATGATTGCCTATCGCGAACATTTGTTCTCCGTCCATCCTGCGTGCAAGTTGGGTCGTGAACCCGCTGTTCCATCCCAAGCAGCACATAAACGTGAAGAAAACGTCGAAAGAACGTCGAAGACGTCTGTAACGTGACGTCGTAAAACGTCGAAGGTCCGGACGTTACCTTCCTTCGACGTCGATGAAACCTTTAAACGTCCGCGAGAAAAGGTGCACAGAAGGTCGAGGGGACGTTCCAAATGACGTTTGTTGCACGTCACATGCACGTCTCAGTGGGCCGTTGCGTCCTCCCTCGACGTTTATGATACGTGTGTTTACGACATCCGGATAATCTTCCCTTATCCTTAATTCGGGTATATTGGTAAAATTCGGTCATTGTTTCCTCTTACACGAACTTAGTTCAATGGGTTCTGTATGGTACACGGCCTAAATATTATTGAAACGAGTGGCTCGTTTTAAGATTAGCCGAAAAAATTGGCGCCTGCAAGTAAACAATTCGAGCCTTCACCAAATTGTACGAGGTGTGATCAAAAAGTTCCGGGACTTATTTTGTAGCGTAAGAAGAGAGGGCAGAGCGGTGATGCGCGCGCAGCAGTCGAAGAAATGGAGCTCCCTGTGTCTATCTCGTTGTCTCCGTTTAACACCGCAGTGCTGACAACGAGAAGACTGAGTAACTGCTTTCGAAACGCAAGTTTCTTTGCCTTCGGGAGGAAGCTGGCGTCGGAAATCAATACGGTTCGCGGAAAGCTAGTGTTATGCTTTTATTTGCTGCTCCTCTCGCCCAGTACAATAGACGTGGCGTCCTCGTTAAGCCTTATTGAGCTCGATTTGCTCAATTCGGGGCCGCCACAATGAGTTGCAGGCGACGGAGAAACTTTGCTACCTTGCTTTCAAGACAAACGTTTTTCCCTTTCTAAAGGAACATAGGTTACAAGAGCGTTCCTCCCTTCAGAAAAACTATCGAGACCCTTTTTTCTTAGAGTGTGGTCACCCCGCCAAAACCGTCCCTTATATAGACTTCGGTCGACCCAGAACAATGGCAACATAAGGCGACTTAACTAACGCCTTTAACCTGCCGTCTGAGATTCCGAGCCCCAGCCAAGGCCGAGGTCATGGAGATACACTTTCTGCGTATGTCAAACTCATTACGCTCATAACGAGCAACCTCGACCAACTAATGTTCACAAAGACCCCTTTGGGAACGAGCGCCCGAGCGCCTTGATGTCGCAGAGGAGCAGCGAGTTGAGCTCCCCAGAAATAAACCTGAAAGTGGAAGGAAAACTGAACAGAGATAGATGCAGAAAGATTGGTAGTTTAATTATTAAAACCCATGTCACAAAAAAAAAGAAGAAAAAAAATAGGACGCGGGATGGCCAAGAAAACACGCTTTTCGTGTAAGACTCTTCAAATTATGAGGCATTGGAGAAAACCAGCATTCTCTTCTAAGTCCTTCTTTCGTACTCTTTTTGTTCGCGTTCTGCCGATTGAAGAGCACACGGGAAGTGCCTCAGCACGCGGCTCGAACCGCTGCGGCGCAGTGTTCCTGCGCAGCCTAAAGACCGTTTGCTTTCATCACCGTCACCATGGCAACGAACGCCGAACAACCTTTCCGGACGACGCGTGTGTCAAGCGGTCCAGTCGCATCTTCCCGACTAAACCTGAACACCGCAGGTGTCGACAGCCTTCGGGAGATCGTTAGCGACATCGTCCGGGAAAAGCTCCACAGGATGCTACCCGCTGCTGATCACCCGTCCTCTCTCTCTTGCTCGCCGAGGTCGTCCGAGAAGAGGTTCACAGAGCCTTCCAGACAGAGGCTCCCGTCACCGTAGCAGCACCGGAGGAGCCCGCTCTAAGCTACGCCGCAATGGTCCGACGAGCACCATTATCCCCGCGTCCGTACATGCTGCCTCCCCGACGTGAGCCTCCAGTGCCATAGTATTCCCGGCGTGAGGAAGATCGGGCGCACGTCCTCTCAGAACAAGCTGCGCCAAGAAAGACCGACGTGTAAAGCCGAGCCGTGTTTAGAGAAAGTTCGGTCGATGGGAGGCGCGGGCAGAGCCAGGGCCTGCACCTGACACAGAAAGAGTGCTTGACATGCTCTCTTGGCCAACCAGAAGCCGAAAAGAATACAGTGGTAGCGAGACACAGTTTGAATCATAGGTGTATGGTTTTAATAAGCAAGTAAGAGTTAAATGTAGTAACCCTTCATGTTTAAAATAAGATGCACATGATGTTTCGATAATGACCATGCAGAAATATGTAAGAAATGAAGTTGCCGCTCAACTATATTTTGCTCGGACAGAGTGTGACCGCTCGGACGGCAGACTCCCGGCCCTCGGCGCCTGGCGTACGGATTATGCCGATCGTTCCGCTGGTCACACTCTTCCACCATGATTTCGGATGACCGTGATTGATACATGACGTGCACCATATTTTAAATCACCGAGAGTTACCCCGATGCACTTATTAAGTTTGTTTCACGCGACCACCGCCAGGGTATTATTTCCAGCTTCTGGTTGGCCGCATTCAAATTTTGCGAAGACGCCTGGAACACACCCAGCCCGCTTTCGGCCTAAGGCGCCTCCTCAATTGTCTCCTATACCTCACAATGAATGGCCAAACTCTCTCAATATATGTGGAGGACGGCCGATCGACGCCCGTTGGGCTATCACTGCGGGGAAGCCGACCACATCTACCGCCGTTGTCCTCGGCAAATAGGGCTGCGCGGCTTCCAAATGACCCACGCCCACGCTACGGTGAGCGACCGCAGGAGATCTAAGAGTACCTCCGACAACTCAGTCTCCCCCGCCTGCACCTCGCAGCGTGTCCCGGCCGCCATCGCCACCAAGTCCAGCGTCGCCGATGCACCGACACCGTCGTGAGAGCCTGTCGTCCCTGTCGCTCTGGGAAAACTAAGCGTGGCAACCCCTGGAGGGGGAATTACTGTAGACCGACCACTTAAATAGCCTCCAAAAACGCCGGAGGCCTTCCACTGGACCGACGACGTGCATCGGAGCGACGCTTCTGCAGTAAGCCAAACAGCCTCAACGGGACCATCGACGGCCGCTACGCGTCGGCACTTGCGGACTACTCCGTTTTTAGTGGGAGGCTTCGACGCCGTCTTCGTCACCTCATCACACCACTCTGAAGATGCACTGTTCGCGTCGAGTTCCACGGTGAGACATGCCCTGTAAAGTTTGTCGTTCTGCAAGTCTGTGCGAGGGACGTTATCCTCGGAATAGACTTCCTCTGCGAGTATGGCGCCGCCATAGACCTCGGAGCAAACCGGCTGACGCTACGAAAACCTGTTACCCCTCCGGAGGAACCCAAAGCGACGTCATCTGTGGTACGAGTCCTCGCAAACCACGCGAACTTATTGCCGTGGTCGAGTATTTTCGTACCCGTCGGGACCGATGAAACTTCATGCGTCGAAGTGCTGCTCGAGGGAAGCCTCCAGTTACTTCTAGAAAGATGAATCGGTGTCGTACGAGGAGTAACAAAACTTCATGACGGGCGCGCCGAGGTCCTGGTTACAAATATTCGAGAAGAGTCGCAGCACCTTACGAAAAGTTGTAAATACGCCAAGAGAACACAGGGACAGAGAAAGAAGTACACGGGAGGAGGCGCAACTTGCAATTGAACTTTACTGAAGGAAACATAAAAATAATAATAAAACTGCACATGCGCCGAGATGATTGACTTTCATTGACTATCTAAAAAGACTTCCGTCATTGTTGATTGAGCGCAGCTTGACCGACAAAAGCCTGCTCCTTATCGGATAGGGCAACAGAGGGAGCACTGATACACACATTCGTGCCATGGGCCCTTATTATGGGTGACTCATGTATATATCTC